CGGTCATTTTGGTATGACTTCGGATCATTTGAAAATTAGTCAAATGATCTGGTCATTTGCCATCACTGCCATAGACATGTCTAACATAAATAAAGTAGTATCCACAAATTCTATCATAAAAATGTGGGTTCTCCTCGAGGATGACTCAAGTTCCGTAAAATATAATATTTTACCAAATGATTATATAACTAAATCTGACTTAAACGACCTTAAGTTAAATCTTACCAATAAGATTAAGGCTCTCAAATACATTAAGCCATAAAAACTTGAGATATTATCATACGAGAATCGCATTAATTCTCTTCGACAAGGTATTAGTCTTGAATCTATTGTTGGAAAATAACTAATATAAATCTACTAGTTATACATTATTCTCTTTCTTCTTCAACTGATAAGTTGGAATAAATATTTTTTTAGCTACTGTCAACTCTATTTCATTTTAACTAGTACGAACTCCAATAGTTATTTTGTGATACAATCTCTTGAATTCGTCAGTTAAAATAATTCGTTTACATACCAGTGAACTCTGATAACTCGTACATTCTGCTGTCAAAATAAAATTTAAAGAATTACAATCAGATTCTCTCCAGTATGTTTTTGTGCATAATAACGGAATTAAGAAATATACGTTGATAGACTGCGAGTACGCATTTAATAGGATTATAACAAAAGTCTTACTGGATGAGGTGAATGTGTAATCAGTCTCTTAATAAATATACCAGGTATGTATGGAGCATGTGGTTTATGAGAAAATCCACAAAAAGATTAATTGAATTATTAGAATTAGATGAATTTACAATGATTTGTAATAAATGCAGAAAAAGAACTGATAAAGATCCAGAATATTTAGAAGCTAAAGAATATGAAGCACAAATTTCTAGAAAAATGATAATGAAGATACATGTACTTACAAATTTTTTTGATTATAAAAAAAACTTATGTTGAATGGAAATTTAAGGAAGTGTTTCATGATATATTAAAACAAAATCATATAGCTCTCAATACTGTATCAAGATTTAACCCGAATAAACTCTCTCTAGTAATACCTCCAATTACTGACAATGAATTAGATCTCTTCATCAAAGCCTCTCGCAAAAGTTCTATACGTTCCAAAATGAAATAAATAACAAGGCAATCTCATATGAATTTATATCAATTTTCACGAATATTGCTGTCCGTTATATTCAACTTTATATGAATGAGAATGCATAGCTATCTGTAGAATCTGAGCTTAACAGAAGTCATGGATATAGTTATGTATATTATGTTGTGCATATTAATAGTAATATAATTTTAATAGAAGTAGCAAAGTGAAAAGATACCACTGAGAGCATAACCTAAGTTATTATGCAAATGCATACTGTAGTGGAAAAATTAGGCAAACGTAAAGTGTGACTCAAATCTAATTCCACAAATATTTGTTATTGTAATCACAGGTCGTAATTGGTGATTCATTCATTGGATTGGTCAACTAGAAAGTCCAATGATCGAAATTTCTGAGGAATATATATGCGGATTTCAATGGAATAATAATAGCTAAAAAACGTGATTAAATGTATATTACGTATTCTTCAAGAGAAGGCTACATTTTCAAATAATAATGAGAACGAACGATATGTAAAACGTTCATATAATGCTCATAATTAGAAAATCTTGTCTAGATTAAAATTGATAACTGTGAATTTTATATAGATACAAAATTAATTAGTGGTCTTGATCTATTAATAAAGGTCAATAAAGAATTTTAAATTTTTCTCGTTCACTCTTTTATTGTGATTTTGAAATTTTCAAAATGGAATTGCGAAAGTTAATTATATAAAGCATAGCATAAAGGATTATTTGATCCTTATTGTTTATAATCCTATAATTTCGTATAATTTATTTTACTTTATTTAAGGAATCCTAAAATTATGTTTGTATTTTTCTTTTTTAGTAATCATTTTATTATACCAAATAATTTATTGTATTATACTGAATAATTCATTATAGTAATAATGAATTTTCTTATTATAAAAGGCTGATCAGTCCAGACGTTATCTTTGTTATATTGAGATATGACTATAGCAATTATTCCTTTTCAAAAAGATCATAATAATTATAATTAGATTTTTTTAAACTAATTCATATTTTAGCATGTTAGTCAAAAAAAACTGTTTTTATTTTCTAACTTGATAAAAATTGTATTATATTCAATTTAAGTGTTGACTTTATAATAAATCTTTTATCCTCTAATGATTCAAATAGAAATGTAAAAGTTATAAGATCTTAAAAGAATATTTTTTTAATTACTTGTAAATTTATCATAAATGGAGATTCATTTTTTTATGAATTATTATTATTATAATTTTAAATTTAAAAGTAATGATTATTTTAATTAGAATATCAAGGTTATCTTATATAATAAATAAGAATGTTATTTTATAAATTTACAAATAATTTAAATTTTATAAATTTCATACTTATTTTATTTATTTTTAATTCATTTATATTATTATGTTAAAAAATTTGTTTTATATTTGGAAATCTATATTTATTTTTATTAAAAGTTGGGATTAAAGAGTAAGTATCTTTGCTTATATAATTCATTTTACTAATCTATAAGAATATATTTGATATGAACTATTTTATATAAATAATTATAAAACAATATCTGATATTATAATATAATATTATATTATTACATGTGCTCATATTATAACTATTTTACTAATTAATTTAAGATGCCTTCTATCTTTTGATATTAAACTTCCTTATATATGAAATGAATATTATTTTTTATTTGATTTAATATTAGAATAGTTTCTGATTCTATATTTGTAGACTATAAATTTATTTTAATAAAATTAATAAATAACATTTTTTTTATAATAATAAAAAAACTTACATTTATTTTTTTATTTGAATTTGGTTCTCATTCATCAATAATTAAAATCATATAACGTTTGTTTTCTTTTAATAATTTTCTTTAAATAATTATATATTTTTTTTATATTTAGCTGCTAAAATAAAACTTAAACAGAATCTAAAGGCTTTATCTCAAAATGATCAGTTTTAATTGCTGATAATAATTAGTAACAAGTTAAGCCAATTTTGATTTTTCTTCATATTTTTGAAAATGAATGTGATTACAAAAGTATTTCTTCTACTATTTTTCTAAAATTTAAAGTTTCATCTAAATTAAATGGAATTGAAAGGCATTTTCAAGTTTTTCACATAGCTGTTGATATTAATTGAAATATAATAAAGGAATAAAGTTACAGTTAATTTCATAATTCATGAACCATTAATAATTTTTCAGTCACATTCAGTCACAATATTTTATAGTAATTTTATTATAAAAAATTTTCAGTTGCATTCAGTTGCAATTTATTAGTGGTCTATGGATTATGAAATTAGCTGTAAAAAGAATTTATATAAAGCATTATGGTAGTGTGCTATTAAAATTGAGGTACAGATCATATGATTTACTATGTTTCGTACCTCAATTTTAATAGCATACCACCTATATATTATAATTTAATAATATAAATGCTTACAGATAAATTAACATTATAGCTAATTTCATAATTCATGGATCACATTCAGTCATAAGATTTTATAGTAATTTTATTATAAATTATTTTCAGTCACATTCAGTCGCAATTTATTAGTAGTTCATAAATTATGAAATTAGCTGTAAATATACTTGGATTTATTTTTCTTTAGAAATAGAGGTACTGTAGGTGCAATCTTTTTAGTAAATCAAAAATAATAAGTTTTTCTTCCAATTTTTCTGTTATTGTATTATTAGCTGCTGCTGCTGCTTTTTTTTTTTTAGCTTTAGTTTATTTATAAAAAAATATTAATATCAATAAATATATAATTATGATAAAAAAATTACCTTTTAGATAATCATATTTATTAAGAAACTTTAAACTTTTTACAAATATTAACAGCGGGTTGACTTGAAGAAATCTAAATCTGGTGAAATATTGGCCCCAAACCAAGAAACCAATTCAGAATCAAGTCTTACATTTCTTTTCTTTGCTTCTTCACATGTAAGAGATTTAGTACGAAAAGTTTTGCGATCCTCAAGACTTCTACTCCAATAAATAATAGTCAGTTGGACTTAATTTATGTTTTGACATTGATGAAAAATAAAAACATAAAATTACGTAGTACAAAGTATATACAATATATAGCTTATATGGTTTATTTACAGCAATACGAGTGTGACTGAATGCGACTGACTGTGACTGATTGTGACTGAAAATTTTTAGCTTTTATTCAGGAATTATGTAATCAGCTGTGATATATATTTTTAATAAATATTCAATTAATATATTATCTTAGAAAGTAAAATATAATTCCAGTAAAATAAAAATTTTCTCTAGAACTGGCAAATTTATTGGGATTTTTAGGACCTTTTAAGACCGTTTCACATCCCTAAAAAACGGTAATTATAAATATAGTTTTAATTCATCTTATGGGATGGTTTTATGTATGAAACGTATGGTTTTTCTTTTTATAATTAAAATATTTTATTTAATACGATGGTAACGATAGAAAAATTGGCGCGCGTATCGATAAATTTTAAAATATAAATAATTGAATTCTATTAAGGATGAAAAAGAAATGATCCCTAATGTCAAAAATGGTCATTTTAACATGCCAGAAAGTCCGATCCGCCAGAAATGACAGATGATTAATCTTGGCGCAGTCAAAGCCATACATTTATAATTTATTCGATTCGTTGCTCATAGTTGTAAATTATAATACATTCTTTTTTTCATTTATTTATAACCTAAAAATATTTTGTTAAAAAAAATTAGCCCAATTTAATGTCATAAATGGAAATAATCGGCCTTTTCAAGTTAATTTCGTGTAACGTGTAACGCTATTGCAACATAGGAGAGATTTTTCTTTGTTTTGTCACACAATTTTACATTTTCCTGGTCTCCATAAATAATAAGTCTTAACCCACATTAAGATAGCTGTTCTTTGGAGATTATCCACTTAACATGTCAAAACTAGCAAGTCAGGATAAACGACAAATGTTACCAACTAATGTAAGACCGACCCATTATACTTTGACCTTGACTCCAGACATGGTCAATTTCACTTTTATCGGATCCGAAACTGTCAAGTGAGTTATCGATCACTATTTGTTCGTAAATTTATTCATCTTCCGATTAAACTTTTTTTGGATTTTATTATTTTTTATTAGCATTAATATCAGCGAAAATACCAAAATTATAACTCTTCATGTTAACGAAATTGAAATAAATTCTGCCAAGATTATCAATTTGGATTTAAAAACTAGTAAAAGGTAGTTTTTTAATAACTTTTTTACGATTAATTTAATATTAACATTCTTTTGATTTGTCAACTAGTTGTGAAGCGACGAATATCAATTATGATACTCAAAAAGAAACGGTTACTTTAACTTTCCCACAAGAGTTTTCTTCCGGAACTACTGCTTCCCTTCATATTGAATACAATGGCATTTTGAACGATAAGATGGTCGGATTTTATAGAAGTTCATATGAAGATAAAAACGGAAATACTAAGTGTGTTTCTAATTCTTTTCATCACAAGCAAATTTGACTAAAATTTCAAAGACTTATTCTTTTAATATGAAGATGTATGATAACAACTCAATTTGCGGCAACAGATGCTCGCCGCGCGTTCCCTTCATGGGATGAACCTGCAATTAAAGCTACCTTTGATATAACTTTAATTGTACCATCTGATATGACCACTTTAAGTAATATGAATGTAGTCAGCGAGACACAACTTGGTGATGGTAAAAAAAAAGTCAAGTTTAATAGAACGCCGTTAATGAGTACCTACGTGTGGATCATTTTAATTTTATATCTTCTTTTATCATAGGATTCTATGAATACTCATAAATATCTTATTTAATAGTTGGTTGCTTTTATTGTCGGTGACTTGGGTTATATTGAAGCCTATACACCTGGGGGTCGCATTGATTGCGAGCCCATATCAATCAGGGTGTATGCACCTAGGGGCAATGAGCAGTATGGTGAATTTGCTCTAAGCGTAGCAATACAAGCTTTAGAATATTTTACAGAAGGTTTGAAAATTACTATATTGCAACGATGTTTAACGCTAGTATTATAGCACTTATCTTTTTAGTATTTGGAATTCCATTTCCTTTGCCTAAATGTGACATGATTGCAATTCCGGACTTTGGATTTGGTATGATATAATCATCTTATGTTGAATTTTTGAAAATGGAATATTTATTAATAAATATTAACAGGCGCTATGGAGAACTGGGGTTTGATTACGTATCGTACTGCCAATGTCCTTTTTGATCCTATTGATTCTAATGTCGAAACTAAGAAAAATATCGCGTACACTGTTTCTCATGAAATAGCACATCAGGTAATTAAAAATCTTTCCGTAGTATAAATATAAATAATGTTTAATTTATAATAATTGATATTGTTATAGTGGTTCGGTAACCTCGTAACTATGGAATGGTAACTTGTGTGGCTATCTATTTCATTTGATACGATTTTTTTTGGAGATTAATCATAAATTTTTACAGGTGGGATCATCTTTGGCTCAATGAAGGCTTCGCTACTTGGGCTGGAAATTTTGCTGTTGATAAATTCTTTCCTGATTGGGATATTTGGACTCAGTGAGTTTGATATAGTATCTTATGATTTATAATTCTTAGATTAATTCAATCCATCTTGAACATTTAATTAGATTTGTCACTGAAGGATTTCAGAGCGCTCTTCAGCTCGATTCTTTAAGATCTTCTCATCCTATTGAAGTTCCTGTAAATGATACCAGGTAATTTCATTACTTTATATTTCTGCATTGTTATCGCTAATAATGTTTATCATATTTACTTGAATGTCACGTATTCAGTGAAATTTCTCAGGTGTTTGATGCTATTAGTTATTACAAGGGTGCTTCTGTAATTCGCATGCTAAATTCCTTTCTTGGGGAGAAAGTATTTTTATCAGGCATTAGAAGATATTTAAAACTTCATGCATTCGGTAATGCGACTACTGATGATTTATGGCAAGCGCTATCAACAGAGAGTGGCAACGATGTTGTTCAGTTTATGACAGGATGGACAAAGATGGTGGGAGTAAGTGTAAATGAAATTACTAATAATATTGACACACTGATGATATCACATTTGATTCAAATTATTAAATTATTTGGAATTTAGTATCCAGTATTAACTGTACAGGAATCAGCACCTGAAACGTTGATAATTAAACAGTGTCGGTTCCTTTCGTCTGGAGTAATTAGTCCTGATGAGGATACTACAATTTGGTGGGTACCTCTTGGAGTCGACCTTGGTCCCGACAATCAAAGTGATATTAAGTCGTCTGTTCTCACTAAAAAGGAAATCACATTGAAATTACCACCTAGAAATTCTGATTTTTATCAGCTCAATGCACGTAAAACTGGCGTTTTCCGTGTTAATTACACCCCTGAACGATTATTTAAATTGGGACAAGCAGTAAGGTCAGGATTACTTGAGGTTAATGATCGTATTGGGGCAATTGCTGACGCTGCCGCTTTAGCAACTAGTGGTTACGGAAAAACTAGTAACTTTTTGAGCTTCATTAAAGAATTTGAAGGAGAGGACAAATATGTGTAAGTTAACAATTATTTGTGATTTAATATATATTTTTTTAATGCACTAAATTCATACCTTTCTAAAAAGTGTATGGCGTGAGATAAATTCTCGTCTTATAAATATACTTAACGTTTGGTTTGAACAACCTACACCAATTTATCATGGACTTCAAACTTTCAACCGTGAGTTATCATCTAGATTAGTTTCTAAATTAGGTTGGGAATATTCTGAAAGTGATGATCATTTGACTACTTTGTTAAGAACACTTATTATTAGTATTGCCGGTGGAGCTAATGATCCAGAGTACGTTGGTGATCAAACCTCTTTTTAGTAGTTTATCTCATGATATTTATTTATTTTATATTTTTATATGTTAGTACGGTTAAGGAAGCTTATCGCAGATTTAATCTTTTCACTAAACAAAATGATGAATCTGCTTTACATCCTAATATACGTGGTGTTGTATTTAAAATTGTTTTATCACATGATGGCGGAGACGAAGAGTTTGAAGCTATATTGAGGATTTATCGTGAATCAAAAACAGCAGATCAAAAATTAGAAGCTTTGTCCGGGCTTGGTTTTGCTCAGCGTGATGACTTGATTCAACGTGCGTTACAATTCGCAATCAGTGAAGAAGTTAAAAATCAAGATGTGATTAGCGCTTTTGCTAGGTAAGAAATTTTTTTTATACATGTTACGTGTAATGACGATCGCTCATGTCTTAATAGTTAAAATTTTTATATGTAGTTTGCAATCAAATCCAAAGTCACGAAGACAATTATGGAATTTTGTTAAAGACAATTGGGATTTGGTATGTATATATAATTCTTTTTTCATTAAATGTTTTGAATTAATTTATAATAAAAATTCATGAATTTGTTTAGATTCATGAGCGATATATCAACTTTCTTGCGCTTTTTGGAAACGTTATCAAAAGATGCATTGATTTATTCTCATCTGAAGATGACATTGTCGATATCGAGAAATTTTTCTCTAATAGAGATTGTAAAGGGTTTGAAAGATCTTTACAACAAAGCATAGAAAAGATTCGTGTTAATGCGACTTGGCTTAAACGTGATTCAAAAGACGTTGAGGAATGGTTAAGTGCCAATGGCTTCTTGAAATGATTTAAACTCTTCAATTATGCAATTATTTATATGTTTGACTCATTTTAGTAATATCTTTAATAAAAAGGTAATTTGGATATAAATTTCTGGATTACACGAGTGTATTGAATATATCGTTTTTAAATAAAGAGTGAAATATATGCTTGCAAATCATCAAATAAAAATAAAGCCATTTATTAAATACAGTTCTTGGTGAAACTAATAATAAATCTTTTTAAAATTTTGCATTTAATCATCATAAATTTTGTAAAAAAAAAAAAATTTTAATTTTAAAATGACTCGGTAACAAAGTATTTGAAAAATACTTTAATCGTTTAATTTTTCAAATCAAATTTATTATGCTTAAAGGTTTTGAATTAGATAATAACAGAGAACTAAATTCGGACATAGATTTAATAACACTTTTTAATAGCATCAAATTTATTCAATTGTAACTTTTTTGAATGAATATCTGCTCTACAAAAATGATTTCCCATATCAGTCAAAATGAAATCTTAAAAACATTTTCAAATTAACAAATCCATATTTTGAAAAAATAAATAAATATTTTGTTCTAATCTAATTCAGTACATTTACATTTAAACTCCCACCTCCAAACAAATCACCGACGAATAAAAATATTTTATTATAAACTGAGCACGAAATATAGCAAATAAGAAAGATTTAGTATTAATGGATTAATATATACATGTACTATCGTATACTAAATCTTATCATAATAATCACCTTCTTCCAAAATGGATTCATTTTTAATAACGCCCACGTTATTCCTTCTAATCGTTCACAACCTCTCAAAATTATTTTCAACGTTTCCAATTCAAATTTCATGAAACAATATGATTTCATATTTGTACAGTCATATTTAATGAATTATCATAAAATCCAATATATAATTTTTCTATATTCTTTCCATTCCTTTCTAGAAATTGAATAAAGTTTCCTTGTTTCTCAATCTTAAAATTTTCAATTGTGAATTGTTGTAGTACATTGTAATGAAATTATTTTATTTATGTAATATTCAAATGCAAGAAAATTGAAAAAAGTTGTAGATTCATATTTTATTTTCTGGGAAAATTACGCATTTCCTATTATTAATTTATCTACCACTTCATTTTATTTATCTACAATTCTACAATTTTTTATAGGGATGTTAAGCGGTACTAAACGGTCCTAAAAGTCCCAATAAATTTGCCAGTTCTAGAGAAAATTTTATTTTATTGGCGTTATATTTATTTTCTAATGATAATTTATTAATTGAATATTTATTAAAAATAAATATTAAACTTAAGCGAGAACCCAGAATCTTAATTTTTGAAACTTAGTAAGGACCGGGTCCCACCTTGGCGATCCCATGAAAATTATCGATTTCAAAGTTCTTATTTCTTTTAAAAGTTATTCATAAAATTTATTATTACAATTTTTTATCAAGAGTTACTTATTATAGATAAACGATTAGACTTTTCTATAACTCGTAATTTCTATATTGTTTACAATCATTTGGGACCGTTTAACATCTCTAATTTTTTATCAAGACAAAAAAAAAAAAAAAAGGTATAAATCTAGAAAATATTTTATTTTTCAGCTCACCAGGTCCTATGATGATGTATAAAAAACTTTCTTTCCGATTAAGACTTCGAAAACTACAAATGAATTCGGAATTTTGCGATCACAATGTGACCGCCGTAATTATTTCGAATTATGAACTCTAAACTATAAAAATAAGAATTTATATACGTAACTTGCGGAATGATAACTTATTCTTGGTAAAGATTTTAGCCCTGAAATATCTTTATTTCGATTGACGCCCACAACAAATTAATATTTCTATAAATAGAATAATAATATTTGCTTTTGATGATGATACTTTCTACAAGTGTTATTTATCGAATCAATTAGATTATCGTTGCAAAAAATGAAAAATTACTACTAAAAAAAAATGTTTATTTGTTAATTGTCGTGCATGTGGCGTAAATTTATTATGAATCGTCGTTGTTTTGATTTGCACCAACGTAATTATTATTACTAAATATGGGGTGAGTACTGCGAAAAGGGAAATTGAAAATTTTTTCAAAAATAACTTTTATCGTTTGATCCAGAACTTTAATTATTTTAAAAATAGATTTTTTTACAATTTGGTCCCTTTTCTCAGCACTCACCCCATATGTTTAAACCAATTTTTTTAACTTTAGCAATTTCATTACTTGGTTGATAATTTTTTTTTTACCATCGACGAACACACAAACAAAATACATGCGATCTTTGGGCAATCTATTTTTGTATCTTTTACATCTCATAATTATAAGACTTTGAATAGTTATAAACTTCGTGGAAATGAAACTGAAATAATTTGTCTTGGCTAGCCGGACGTTCTTGAAAGTCGGAATATTGGAAAGGCATAATTATAAATTGATTTTGACTTATGGTGACTGCATTAAGTTTATCTACTTGCCTGCCAAAAAAAACATTATTTTTTCAACAAATATTTGTTAAAAACATTTATGATTTATATACAAAAGCAAATTTAATCAAGATATTATTTTTTAAATTTAGAAGATCTAAATTTAAATCATCCAAAAAAAAAAAAAATTAAAAAATAAATTATAGAGAAATTCGGATATAAAAGAGGCCTCCTTTCCCTTTTCTCAACGACAGGATTTCAAATTATAAAGTAAATCCCAATAACAAAAAAAAACTCTTCCAATTAACATTTTATATCTTGAATTTTTTCAATATGAACTTGAACATGAAAGTCTTTTCAGTTTTACTTATCGCAGTCCTCTTCTTCATGGCCTTTGTTAAAGCAACTCCTGTTGATGGCAATGAAGGTATTCTTATAATAAGCTCATAACTTAACTCTTTCGTTTTAAATAAGCAAATGATTTTTTTGGAACTATCTAACCTTCGCTTAATTTTCATATTATAAGACGTTTTTAAACGTGCTCAACCATCATGTCATGGCCGTATTTGTAGAGGTAATACGCAATGTTGCAACTCACTACAAAAATGCATCTCAAACAATAAAGCGTGCCCTTGAAAATTTTTTTATTTTAATATTGGAGGAAATATTATTATTATTTAGTGAGTACATTATTTACAATTATTACGTTAATTATTATTTTTTTCTTGTTAAAGTCTATTATGATTGTATCGTACATTGCTAAGTATTTGTTCAATAACTTCATGTAAAAAGTTTAATTGATTCAATTTGTATAATATTCGTAATTAACCTTCGCATACTATTCGTGTTATATGAACACAATTTAATAAAAAGTAATTAGTTCTTTGAATAAAATTTCTCTGTATCGAATACCGCGAATCCAAAATAATATCAAAAAATGCCAACATATTAAACAACTGCAAAACCCCTTTTTCGTCCAATTAATATTAATAACCTTTCATATGTTACATTGTTCTAATTAATTAACGATTTTTGAGTTTAACAATAATTACGGAATGGCGCAACAAATTTCACTTTATTTGATTTATGGAACTTATTGAAATTTTGTTGCCAATCTGAGAATCAGTGAAAGTGAAAAAAAAAAAAGTTGAATTTATAATAGAAATCGGTACGTTAATCACGACGAAAGAATGTAAAACACTTTTATAATCGGCTTCAAAAACAACTATTTACGAATTGCGCAGTACTTTTGAATTAGAGTTGGCCAATATATATATATATATATAACATGTTTATTTGAGATTTCGATTTTTTCCATGTTTTTTTCGTGAAGGGCTCATTTTCACGGAATTTATACACGGATTCTGTGAAAGGCTCATTTACACGGAATTTTTACAGAAGTCATGGAGAAAAAATGGAAATACTTAAGCTATAGGGAGGAAATGGGTCGGTACAGTTCGAAAGAATTAATAACATTTCGTACAGTTCTCGACGACGCTTCCAGACCAATTCTCGAACTTTTTTTCCACATTTTTTTTCTACTACTTTACCCGCAGCAAACACCAACTCAAAGAGTATCATATCCATAAACCACCTATAAAAAAAAGATGATCCATGTTTTATTTTCTATGTATTTTCCGTGAAGGGATCAGATTCGCGGAATTTTTACAAAAGCCACGGAGAAATGCAGGCAAAGAATGTTTATAGGGTCACGTATGACTATTGGCTAGGGGAAATTTTGGCCGGGAGACGAAGTCTAAAATTCTATTAAACTATATGAACTAGGGGGATTTTATATTACGTATTTTGCTCACTTTCGAAATAGGCTCATCATTGTCTCCATATATTATGACAAATTATACGAGAAATAATTTTAAAAGTATTAGCACACTTAGTTTGTTGCACACTATAGCAACAATATCTTAAGCAATAAAAAAATAAATATAATGATAGACTATAATCAAATTTATAGGAGTTAAAATAAAATAATGAATCGAATTTAAATAAGATAATAATGACTTATGTCTCATTATATTTTTGTTATTTTAATTTATAGAAAATAAATACCAAAGGTATGATTAACAGACAGTCTTCTTTTCAGACAACTTTTAACCGACACCTTCAATTTACTGAAATCCTTTTTTGACCGACATTTTATATTTTGAGTATTTTGAGTATATAATACTGTATATTGCTGCAAAATCAATTTTAAACAAAAAAATAAAATCGTTTTCATAATAAAACTTGATTCTTCATACAAACTTGATAATTGAGATTTTCATTAATGTAATGCTTACGATGAGATGAAATTGTCGCTCCACGAATAATATATTCAATTTTGTCGGTAAAACATTTATTAGGAGATGGATGTTATCAAAATGAGTTACGGTTAAAATTGGTAGTGGATTTCGCTAAAAAGCGAATACGAAAATTAACATATTATAGTAAATTGAATATGATAAATACTTCGATAAATAGGTCTAAAGATTATTTGTAATGTTCTTAACATAAAAGTTAACATTTATTTGATCAATAAGATTTTGTCACCCGCCAAGCATAAATTTTTATCTTAATTTAACTAGAGCTGCGTTGTATTGTGATCTTGAGAGCACGCTGCCTTTGATCTGGTGCATGTTCTTTGTCCAGGTGTCCATATCCGTTATGGACGAGAGCATTTCGAACTTGCTTGTATCGGACTAATACGTGAATGCCATCCAATGTCAACACAAATTTGGGTCAGAATCATGTTACGCGTTTTCACTTTATCATCTTTGTTAATTGTTATATATAAATGCGAAAAAATTTAGGAACTGTTTGTCACTAAATATATCTTTATTATAAACCTCTAGGAATTTTCATACCATATCCGGTGCATCGCATCTCGTCCTCAAACTCCTGAGCAAGTACCCTCACCTTAATTATGTAATAATTGAGTTCAAAGGTTATCACTATTAAGTCTCTATACTATAACGCGAAACACTTACTTTTTCTACAGTTAACAACGTTTGTTAATGTATTTTCCCAAATTTATTATCGATTCCGTAACGTTTTTTTAGTTCCGATGAATGTATCTTGCTCAATATCAACTTCATTTTTACGCTATTTCCAATTTTAACAAAGTATGTCGTCATATTTTAAAAAACATAATGGATATAAGATTTGTATAATTTGAAAACGATAGTGGCTCCAAACAAGGGTAATATTTATATTTAAAATTTTTAATAATTTGACCGATTTAGGATACGAAATTACGGTTTTGCTCTTGCATCCATTTTTGTTGGCAAGAGTCGCCTCCTAATTTTGTGGAAGTGATTAGCAAGCTTTATTATATTTTTGGATAGCGAAATCGTTAATTACAATAAGACTCAATGTAGAATAATTTAACAATTTAGAATATCGAGTTCAAGGAATAAGAAGAAAAGATTTTGTTTAATAAAATACAAATATTTCTGCCTCAGCCGGCGCTCTGTGATATAGGCCTTGAAAGAAAAGAATTATTTTAATCTAATCCCATCGTAAACACAAGACGAAATGTATTCATTTTATAACAAAAATTCTTTGGACTTTAGCACGAATATTCTTAAAATTATCAATCAATCGCGGCTTATGCATGGAAAGTCAAATTAATTTGATCCTGATTACAACCAGAAAAGTCAGATCTGCAGCGATTAAGTCATTTTGCCCGGGTGACACAAGCAAAAGGCTACGCGCATGATTTTATTTCATAAAAAAAGTTATCAGATATAGCGAACCTTCATTGCGATGAAATCGCGGAGGGACAGGTAGGTAATATTGGCCAGTTTCTTATCGGCTCATTGGTCACATTTTATTTATCATCAAACGGATGATAAGGGGATTTGATTTATTTATCTATAATATAAAAAATTAAATTCATTAAAAAAATCGAATTTGTACCAATAAATAAAAATATTAATTATATAAAAAAAAAATCAGCCGAAAATCTACCTATATTTAAATCCAGAAAAAATAAAAGCAACCAATCGAATATAAAAATAATAATTTAATTTTTAGTTAAAAATCGTAGGTATTAAAACGATATAATCCAAATTCGCAAATTAAAAATAATACAATCAAATTTAAAATTGATTTTGATCAATTATTTTACAATTCCGTGATAAAAAAAAATTAAAATGATATATTTAAATTAAACTTTAATACTAAAACAGCTGAAATGCATTATAGAACACTCTTATACGATAAATCTAAAAACTCGAGATCCTTTGAATATTTAAATGACAATACTAATTATGAGAAGATAATATCTAGATATAATTTAATTAAAGTAAATCAAAGAAAGTAGTATTACATAAATAATTACTCGGCTGTATATGATTTTTATACTTTGCCGTGTAGTAAATTGTCACGGAGAGAGTTTATTTAAACTATGAGCGTGATATTACAATATAAACTATTATTTTTATTATATATTTTTATTATATATAAAAGACCATTATTAAATATATGCAAGAAAGAATAATCGCGTAGTTAAATGTAATAGTTTAAACATTTACATGCATAGGGGCTCAAAATTTACTAAACTAAATGACTTTGAGATGCTTTGATCAAACATTATATCAAAATTGCATTTACAAAAGTATTCATTAAAATTCATTCTGTTATTACTTCTTGATCATGATTCTTATTTATTTTTGTTTATTGTTGGATTGCTTTTTTATATAAATTGATTAGTAACATTTGGGCGAGAGTGAATTGTATTAAAGTATTTTTTGCTTTGAAAGATTGATAATTTTTTAATTTAATTAATGGCTTTGACATAATATAAAATGCAAGTAATTTTAGATAAATTTTGTAAAAGAAAAATAAAGCAAATGTATTTATGATATTAAAAAATAAAATTAAGAAATAACAATATTTATAATAATCTGGGGCCGAACAATTATACCGTAACTTCACGGGTGATCGCCAATTACCAGTGAAATAAATTTTGAGTTATAGTATAGTATAAAAGCTCGGAAACATTCGCTTTGCGTATAGTCCCGTGACTAGTATGAAAGAATCGTACAATAACATATCGGTCTTTAAGGTCTATATGGGGTCATGGACTAGCAAAACTTCCCCGAAGAACTGTTTGCTTTTTTATGAAATTAGAAAATAAAATTTTATCGATTTCAATGTTTACAGCAAAGTTTATTTTTAGTAAAAAATTTTGATAATAAATATATTTCTGATCTTTTAGAAAAATGAATTTCTTTTAAATTATAATATATTCAGAGCTTATATAAAACCATAAAAAAAATTTATTGACGGAGGGTCTCGGAGACAGACATGTTTTGCTACTATACTACAGTATATTACAATGCGTATTACATACAGTTGCAAAATTGTACTGGATAAGATTGATAAGATTCCACCCTTCGGATAATTAAACATACGTTTATAGTAATCTTATCAACAGAGATATAACATATCATATAACATAAACATCTATTATTTTTTCTTAAAAGCCTTGAGTTTACCTAGCCCCTTATTTTTTTTTTTAAAAAAAATTTTCTCACTCTACTGATAATTTTATTGAGGTCTAGGATAATAACTTAGACCAGAAATCTATAATTGCATTAAAACTTGGCCTTCACGAGAAAGTCCAAAGTCTCATTGCTTCTTTTAAAGAATTCACTTCAAACTCTTTGATAAAAGTATGATAATTTAAATAAGCCCTTGGTGTAGAAAATTATCTATTTCAATTGATTGTATAAACAACCATTTTTTTATCAGATGAGTCAAGACATTGAATTAACATGTCAATTATTTGAATTCATCTATCATCATCTGTATTAATCAAAATTAAAAATATTTGGTTCCGAATTATAATTTCTTATGAATTTAAAAGGATTAATCCAAAGAATAGGAATAAAAGGTTCTATTCACGCGCGGATGCATAAATATAAATTTTCAAATCATTTTTTAAATTGCTCATAATCAAATCATGTCATTCCCGATAACAATGTCTAAATTTACTTTATCTCCTGACATTTCGAATTCAGCTTGGTTTTGGTAATAGAGAAAATATTAGAAATAAATAAATATTTTCTTTTCTCTTTCTAATGTAAAGGAAATTTTGATGTATAATTTTGATTTATTTTTGTTTCCAAATAAGCATGAATTTTTTATTATTTATTAATTTCGGTTATGGTTGTGTCTTGTTCCGCGTAATATACGCAGTAAAAGATCATGACCAAAATTTGGATTGAACTTTCTATATAACGTACCTTTTATATAAATTAGGAAAAAATTAATGGCTATTTTTACGCAAACCTCACAAAAAATAAAAATTTAAAATCTTTAAATTTAAAATTTAGTAAGGTATTATTACACAAATACTAAATTTATTCGTATCAATTTGGTATATAAATTACACTTCTGCTGAAAATTGGACTGATCAAGGTCTAACTTTTTGGAAGGCGTTATATATAAGATACAAGAATTAATATTTCCTTTTTCCACAAGTCGATTCATCTTACTTTTTTTAAGTGATGTCACCAGAGCATCAAGTTTGATGCAATTGTAAGCTCTTTCAGACAAATAATTAAAATAAAACTTCATGATCAGAGACATTTTACCGAAGAAATGTATTAAAAAAAATGCAAAACACAGGTTTTCATACATCAAAAATCGAGAAGTAGCAAGTTGTATCGAAAATCGCACGCTCTGGAAATTTATTGAGCCTTAAAATGTTCCTAGATGTGAGATTTGTGTTTAGTTTATCATAAAGAGTCCAACGTTCTAAGTGAATATTAAAAAAAAAAAATAGAAAGAGAAGGTGGGGAGGATCAGACCAGATTCGATCGAAAGGGAGTCTGACATCCAAACAGTGTTATTCTGTTAAAATTACTCTCAATCTTCAGAGAAATTGGGCTCATAGCTTTACACAGTCTCAAGAGGGTAATCTCACCAAGAGACATTACCAAGACTTGAGGCATGATAATGTTCTGTTCTCCCCTAGGCGCCACAACCATTTTAAATGATACACCCCTAAAATAATAGCCCGATACTCCATTCAAAGATTCTTGGTACCAACAAATACCAAAACCACATTCGTCCACAATAAAGGAAATATTTGTATTTTACCGTACCCAGTAACAATAGAAAAAAAATTAACATGGATGACTTGAAAACTCAAAAAATCATTAGTTGACGGCGATTTGAAACTTAGCAAATGCGAGATTATTTATAAAAAAAACTTATTATAAGGAACGTGATTTAGTCAAAACTACTCGAAAGAAAACGATTTTGTATTTCTTGTGGGCATTATGCATAACGATCTCACTGCGACTCCTTAGTTATCGTTGTTATCGTTCATCAACAAATTATAATCAAATCAAAAGTTTCTTGCCTTGAAAAATCCGGAGTCAAAAGTCTTACTATGCATACTACTCTTTTGAGGAATTCCGTTTTTCCCTTCGAAATATAATATCTTCAATTATCTATATTACAAAAAATTATGTTAAAAGTTAAATAATCTTCTGATGTATTTATTTCCTTTATTCTATTTCATTTATATCTTTATTATTAACAAGAAGCTCTGCGAAAAAATGAGTTTGTTAAATATCGTAACAAATGCAAAAAAAGTAGCAGTGTACTTTAGACCAATCTATTTTAGTAAATTGCTTCAAAAACTTTACTTTTTGTAAAAAATATTTGAAACAATTATATAAACATCCAATCCACAACGATTTTCTTGAACCCTCAGTCGTTGACTACGGCTCCAATATTTCTCCGAATAGGCTTATCGGAACATCAAAATTGGGAGTTTTGCTATTAATTTTACTACTCTCAGGTTTTGACTGCGTCAAAATTGATCGACACTGACGATCAATCTGCCATCAAAGTCTAAAGCTTCATCTCTAAACGAGTCGAGTTGTATAGAAATTATTTATGAATATCAAACTTTGATTAAAATTTATAAGGGTAAGGGTTATTGCGATAATTATTTTTAATATATTATTAATATTTTCTTTTTTTTAGGTCATTTCTTTTTCAATTTTCGTTCAAAAATTCTGTTGTAATTGGTTTTAAAAACTCATAAAAAATATTTTTTTATTGTGAAATAAATTAATTTATAAAAAAATTACTATTTTATGTGTGAAGTAAATGAAAGAAATAATTTTACAGATAATGAATGATATTGTTGCACGCAGTTCGAAACGTTTATAGTTATAAACAATAGAAAAGGTAAGCAGAAGGTTTATTTATTTAAGTGTCTTTATTAATAACTAACATAAATCTACGTAAATAAGGTATTGCCACAATCTTCGGCATTCTATACGATCAGATACGTAATTTATTATACACTTTCGTTATTCGTTACAAATAAAAGGAAAGGGAATATATTGTCTATCGTTTATATCTAGGGAATATATGGAACACTTGATATGTTCTATTCAAGCGAAATCCCACCTCTTTCATACTTAAAACCCAGCAAGGACTAATTGTTCAGAGGCCTTTTTGTCCTCGAAACATAATGTCCGGATGCCATATTGGCCCATTGATCTACAAAAGTCTAACTAAATATTAACAAAACTTAAATTTAAACTAAACAGAATTGGGACACAATGCCCTGGAACTAATAGAACACGATAGAACAATTAAATTACTAATATTCTTTGTAACAATATTATTGAAATTAATAAAAGAAAAGATTGTCGTAAATTTTCATCCTATGTGTGAAGTGTAAATGAAAGAAATAATTATTAAAATCGAGTTATGAAACATAGTAAATAATATGATCCGTAAGGTGATTTTAATAGCAAACCGCCCATATTATTGAAATTAATAAAAAGATTGTCTTTAATAATTCTGTTCTTTCCTTGAAATTTTTGATCAATCATCTTCGTTTTGATACCAATCATCATGTTTTTTTGATTCTGATTTAAAATAAAATGAATGACATTACTATGTTTATCTAATAAAACAAACATTGGCCTATTACAGCAATAGTGCGTAATAAAGGGTATAAAGTTATCAAGTAGCTGATAAAATATCAATCTTGCATGATATGATTTAAAAGTTGATTATGTAGTTTAAGAGAATTCTCACTTTTTTTAAAAACAACTATTGACACTTCTTCCATTTACAATTCTACTTAGTAAATAAATGGATTTTTATATATCATACCTTTGAACTACGCCCTTTTCGAATCATTCTTTCAAATTCTCCATAAGTTTTATTATTGAAAGTTTCATTTTCGGTTCTTTTAATTATCAACTCCATTATAAATATATCTATTAATCAATCTTCATAATATTTTATCGGATCCTCCACAAAATAATAAACTCAATTATAATTATTATACGTTATAAATCACAAGATTTTTCTTAAAAAATAAAATGTACTGTAGAAAAATGTATAATTTTTGGAGGAAATTTTTTGAGCTGATAAAATTCAAGCAAAGTAAAATTTGGTTATTTTATACTTTAAAAAAAAATGATGTAAGAAACAATGTTGATTAAACGAAAAAGGAAATTCATATTCATAAACAAAAACATTCGGTTAAAATTTGACCGATAAGAAAAATGATGTAATGTAACATGTTGATTGGTTAAATTTTACATAAACAAATGTCATCATTGTACAAAATTTGATATGCATTTTGAAAATATAAACTCTTTTTTCTTATAAATTGATCTTAATATAGAAAATATATTCTAAAATTTTTTTATAAATTAAATAAATAAATTCATATTAGAATTAGTTTTAAAATACTTTTAATACTTTTAACAAGTAAATTTTTTGATAATAAAATATTTTATATAATATCACTATTTATTAAGTTAAATAATAAATTCTTTGTTTTTATTTTTATTTATAAAAAATTTAATAATTTTTTAGATTTAAGTTATTCATTATATTAGAATTTAAATTGTAATTAACCTTTTTATTTATTTATAAAAAGTTATTTTATTCTTTTATTAATTTTTTAATAATTAATTAATATTTTAGTTAGTAAGATATTATTATTAATAATATAAATTTAACTATACTTTTTAAACTCAATTGAATTTATTTTAATTACTGTAAGACATAAGTTTATTTATTAATTATATTAACTATAAGTTTTATAATTTAAATAAATATTAATATATTAATTTATTTTAGTTGTAAAACATTTTTATAGATTATTAGCAATTAAAGTATATTTTTATTATAATATAACTTAATCTTAATTAATATTTATTTAAAAATATTAATATAATAACTTTTTACAATAAAAATAAGTAATTAACATTATTTAATATACCAATATTTTTTTAAATAAAACTAAAGTTTTATTTAAAATATATTTAAAATAAATAATAAAAATTTTATATAATTCTAGTAATATAAATATTTATTTAAAAATTTAAATTATAAATTATTTTATTAATTAATATTTAATTTACTAAGTTTACTTTATATATAATTTAAATTAATGAATTTTTTTATTCAAAGAATGAAATATAAATGAATAAGTTTAATTTATTCTTTTTAATTGAAATGTAGCAAAAAACTTTATACTATACTTAAGATAATAAATTATTATCTGTAACATATACTACCCAATCATATTAAAAGATCAAATATAACATTAAATTTGACTTTAATAATAAAAATTATCTAATCATTTATGATCTGATGTAATATAATTAATTTAATTAATTCACATTTTTAAATCTCATAATGTAATACATTGTGAGTAAGTTTGATAATTATATAGTATTAGTAGAATGATTGTTAGAAAAATTAAATCAAATAATATAAATATATATGTGTTTCGCATTTATGATATATGATCATTTTCTAGCTTTAATCAATTTTATATATATCCTGCTAATTCTCATCTTTATTTTCAAATATAATTTTTGAAAACTACTTGCATATTTTATTAATTTAATAACAATTGCTAATTTCAATATTTTTTTGTAAACAGAAAATTATTGTAAATATTTTCTGACTTAAGTTGTTAGAATTAATTATTGTGTGATTTTAAATTTTAATCCCTACGAGTTGCCATTTAGATATAAACTGCAATATTTAAAACATATCTATTGTAAATTTAAACATGCTTTATACTAGATATACTAATAATTACGGTTATGACCAGTTATAAATATAATAAATTTTTAATAATATAGTGTAAAATTGTAAAAATAAAAAATAAAATAAAATTATCATATTTACTAAGTTATAAAATATTGTAACAATTATATTAACTTGCAAGTGAGTCAACCAGTCAGCTAAATCAATTAATTAAATAGTCAGATAGTCAAAAGGCTTTAAATAACTATTAATTAATCATTAATTAACTATGATAGATATTATTACCTCTACTCCAGTAATGGCAAATTACAAAGTTATTTACTATTTTTTCAAATGACCTTGGTCATTTTGACTTAAAATTTATAATAAAAGTGAGGTCATTTGAGGTTATTAGAGATCATTTCAAGGTCATTTTGAGATCATTTGCCAATACTGCTCTACTCTACATACTTTAACTTAATATGTAACTTATTTTTCACTAGTCAAAATCATTTCATTCGGCATTAATACCATTCGGTTAACATTCACCGATTCGGTCATGTGATTTGGCAAAATTCGGCTTAAGTTACAAAAATTGATAGTTATTTGTTACATCACACATAATTTAGCACTATTTCGGCATTAGACCTTTTGGTAAACATTCAGCCAATTCGGTCATGTGATTCAGCAAAAATTTGACTTAAGTTACAAAAATCGATAGTAATTTGTTACATCACACATAATTTAGCATTATTTCGGCATTAAGACTTTCGTCAAACATTTAGCTGATTCGGTCATGTGATTTGACAAAAATTCGGCTCAAGTTACAAAAATCGATAGTAATTTGTTACATTACACATAATTTAGCATTTTTTTGGCTCTAAGACCTTTCAGTTATAATATTCAGCAAAATTTCAGTAAGACTCAAGATTTGGTAACCAATCGACTGTATCTCACTGGTCGAAATCTGTTACGCTGATTTTTACAAAAATAATAAAAACATTCTGAGAGTAATCGTCACAAAGAGACAATAGAAATCGTCCTTAAAGAAACGAACATTCATTTCCAAAGAGACGATAGAAATCATTCCAAAATAACGATACATTTGTCCCTAAAGAGAAGATAGAAATCGTTCCAAAATGATGATAGAATTCGTCCCTAAAGGAACAATAGGAATCGTCCTAAAGGAACGATAGAATCATCCCAAAGAGATGATATATTTATCATTCTTTTTTGAAAGAACAATGTATTTTTTATCGTTCTTTCAGAACGATACATTATCATTCTTTCGGAATGATTTTTTATCGTTCTATTGGAACATTTTCATCATCGTTCTGAAAGAACGATTTATTTTTATTGTTCCGAAAGAACGATTTTTTATCATTCTGTTGGAACGATTTCATCATCGTTCCTTTAGAATGATTTTTTTATCATTCTATTGGAACGATACAATTATCGTTCCTTTAGAACGATTTTTTCATCATTCTTTCAGAACGATTTCATCATCGTTCCTTTAGAACGATTTTTTCATCGTTCTTTTGAAACGATTTCATTATCATTCCTTTAGAACAATTTTTTTTATCGTTCTATTAGAACAATACAATTATTGTTCCAATCAGATGATACAAAACCATCTGACTTGAGCATTTATGATAAATTGTATTTAAATTTCAGATTAATGAAATTTTAATTCAGTTTATAATATAAAACTGATAAACTTTCAGAATATTCTGAAAAAAATTTTTTCTTTTTTTTTTTTTCTAGTGAGATGATATTTGGGCGAAAACTTAACTTTTTCCTTTAAATTTTCTTGTTTTTTTTAGGAAATTCTTATTTAAAAATTAAGGTAAGCAAATCAGAAGTGATTTTTTTGGCATTTCCTTTTTTTTTTCTTGTTTTTTAAGGAAAATTCTTATTTTGGAATTAAGGTAAGTAAATCGAAGGTGACTTTTTACCATTTTTTCTTTATTTTTCTTTGTTTTTTGTAGGGAAATTCTTTTTTCGAAACTAAGGTAAGCCTTTCAGAGGTGACTTTTGAATTGTTTTTAACCCTTTTTTCTTTGTTTTTCTTTGTTTTTTTTAGGGAAATTCTCTTTTCGAAACTAAGGTAAGCCTATCGGAGGTTGTT